AAAAAATTAGAAAAAAATAAAGGTGTGTGTGTGAAGTATCTGTTTATGGTGACTTTCTAAGACCCAGGGAGTCATGGGAACAGTTCTGATGACTCACCCTGACTTCCAGTCTCCTCCGGGCCCAGGGGTGGCCCCCAGCATGGGTCAGGGCCTCGGAGAGCTTGCCTTAGCAGAAGTGAAACCATCTACCCTTCAGACATAACAGGACAGTGAGAAGGAAGGAACATGTACCCCAACCTCTGATCAGCCCTGAGCTCCCCAGCAGGGGGCCGGCTAGGACTCCAGGCATGCAGGAGGCTGAGCCGGCTCATATCCAGCTACAAGGCAGCCAGGGACCCAGGCACCCACCCCTTGTCTGCGTCCCTCTCGGGAATAGGACTATGGCCCAGGCCAGAAACACATCACCTACAGTACAAATTGTAATTTAAAAATAAGGGTGGTGTTGAGTGGGGAAATTGGGGAAGGTGTTTTAGGAGCCACTAGGAAAATGGGCAGCAGGGACACTCTTGACTGGCTTAGGGAGAACGGTTTTGGGGAACCCGGACGCTGGCAAGCTGAGAAACACTGGTGTGGAGATTCCAGCCAAATCCCAGGCCTGCTCCTCCCCCTCCTCTGGGAGGCTGTCTTCTTGGCAGACAGCAGAGAGATGCATGACAAAGGTGCCGTGAATGGCTCTGTCCTGGGGGTTGAGATGGCTGGGCAGGGGCCCCTGTTCTGAAGCCTGTTCCTCCTACCCCTACTAGGCCCCATAAGCTACCTGCCTTTTGAGCAGTAGAGGCTGAGAGATGAACACAGCTCCAGCCCCACTGCCTTGTAGACCTTAAGGCAGACCTATGGCAGGTATTGAAATGCATGCATACAATTAGGCTCAAAAAGTCTACAGACAGGAGATGGGTGCATGACAGGGTCAAAAGACTCACAGATGCCACCAAGATGAAGACAGCTGGCCACGGGACACCCAGCCCCTCAGAAGGCAGACAGAGCCACTGACCCCAGCAGACAAGCACAGGCAGGGCTCAGCCTGGAAGCCTTACTTAAGTGGACAGAGGTCAGTGTGCCCAGTGCAGACCTGGCCTTGGAAGCTGTAGGAGCCCCCAGACTTACCCCAGGCCCTCCACTGGGAACGTTCTGGGAGCAGACAGACAAACATCAACACTCACAGACAGGCATTCCTTGGTGCTATTCTCTTGCAAACAGAATCAAGCACTAGGCCAGCAGCATGAGCCTCAGGATACTCAGGCCAGACCCAGAAAAACAGACCCTGAGGGGGAGCTTCGGGCAGCCTTCCGCACCCCTCCACCTCCTCTGCATCTTTCTGCCAGCCAGCCCCACTAAACGAAGTACAGCACTCAATCTGAGAGGCTGGGGGAGGAATGCACACTAAGGCTGGATGCCTGAGTTCCCCAGAGGAAGGAGGAACTAGATACCTA